CAGCGTAGATTTTGACTGTTGATGTTATGTTTGTCGAAATATCATTGAGTAGGATCTTAATTCCAAAACAAAAACCAATGGGAATTTATATTTATCAAATGAATTTTTAATGCAGTGTGCTCTTCACTGTTTACCTCTAAATACTTCACTCCTGAAGCCGAATATGTAAAACGCTCAGAGGTCGGGAATTTTAACGTCCCGTACTGACGGAAATTAGACTTCAAAAGCAAAAGAATTCGCTTACACGACAGTTGATGTCAAAAAATGGCCTCATATATGGAAGACGAGAAAAAAGGACAAGATTGAGGTGCGAGACGTGATTACAGGCCATCAGTAGAAAAGCGTTCAACGATCAGTGATTATCATCTAATTTGTGTGACTATGATACTCTGAAAGGAAACTGAATCCAGGGCTGGCACTACGGCAAATAGCTGATTTATTATAGGCCAATATTTCGGCTAACAAAATTAGCTAATAAATTATACCTTTGCCGTAGTGCCAGCCCTGCATTCAGTTTTGTTATATTTTACACTTTAAGTGACGTCTGGCTACAGCATCTCTTTAATTAGATATCCGGCAAGAGGAACCAGTCAGTATATTTACGTGTTGCGTGGACCTCTGATTCTAATATTATCTGCCCTTCGGGAACAGATGATCCGCCCATATGCAAAGTATTCTTCTTATCTGTTCTAAGCTTCTTGACATTGTCAAGTCGTCACATTGTAAATCGCTTAACCCTAACCCTAACCCTAACCCTTACACTGATTCTGATTAAGGCACGTGCGCAACACGTAGACGAAAAGTCCGGAGGGGAGCGTACTGTGCTGCCCGCTATAAAGGGTGTGCTACCGTGAAGGGTAGGATTTTATCTAATTTAGTTTAAACTGAGCGTACACAAATCAGACGATTTTAGTCTAGATTAGGGTGCCGTTCATGGGGAATTGATCAGTGGTACGAAGAATTAGAGTTTCAGTCGGTTTCGTTGTTTATCTTGGACAGATTTTTGGTGCCCAGCCAAGAATAGGGGGGCGCACTGACATCACACCATAACACAACCCTAGACTTTAAGCCCCCGACCCCCCTCCGGGCGAAAACATAAGAGGAAAATTAAAACTGTTTGAGTGCTGAGGTCCACGCAACACGTAAATATAACTGACTGGCTCCTCTTTCCGGATCTCCGTAATTAAAGATCTAGAGATGCCGTCACCAGACGTCGATTAAAATAAAGCAAAACTGAATGCAGGGCTGGCACAACGGCAAAGGGCTGATTTATTATAGGCCAATATTTCGGCTAACAAAATTAGCCTTCCTCAGGGTCAGAGCTATACCGAGAGAAAATTATCTTTTAACGGCTCCTAAAATTTGAATTTAAAATTCACATAAGTGGTTAATAATTAACTACAATTATAAATACTAGATAGAATAATTTACAGGTAAATGATTAAATAATAAAAATAGAAATAGAAACAGTTCAATGTTCATTCCTTCGGTTCAGACCGTCTGGTGACAGGGTTTTGCCTCTCATCTATGAGGTACGCTTCTCTTGCCTTACGGCGTGACATGCTGAGGGTGGGTTGTAATTCCAGCGGAATAAGTTCCATGTCTGCGACCGAGTGGCCAGGTTGATATCGATTAAAGTCAGGAAAGTAAAGTAAAGTGGGAAGGGACTGCTGCTATGGTGTTTGCCTGGAGTGGATTGTTTGATGCCTGTCTATATGTTCTTTAAAGCGTTCACGAAGTGTGCGTTTAGTTTCACCTATATATTGTTTTTTACATCTTTTATATTGGATCATATATGTTAGGTTTGCTGAGTCACAAGTAATGTGATGTTTAATTTGTCTTGTTTCTCCTGTGTTGGTGAAAGTGTATGATAATGTATGGGCTGGTGAGCAGTCAGGTCAAGAGTTGCAATGGATTGTGCCCGCAGGGGGTTTGGGTGCGTTGTCGTTGTTTGCGAGTTTCGCACAAACGAGTAGGTCACGGAGGTTTGGTGAACGGTACCCGACGTGCCAGAAGCTTTTTATGCGCGGTTTCCGGTTTCGGCCGACAAAACCAAGCTCCCCGACGCACGCGAGAAAAAACCTCTGGTACCCCAGGGAAGGTGAATGACAGAAAGCGACGACAGGAACTTCTTTAAAGATGTTTCTTAAGCGTTCGGTGGATTGCAGAATGGGTTGTTTCTTGCGGAGTATGTCATGGATGTTAGGTAGAGCTGGATTATAGGCAACTGTATGGATTCGGTTACTTGTATCTCTGGTGGCCGGTTTATTCTCTTTTAAGGCTAGGCTTCATTTCGAGGTACCTTTTTTGCTCCGATGATTTGTTCTTTAATGAACAGGAAGTCGTCATTTATTCCCTGACTTCATGATCACGTACAACTCTCCGCGGGGCTCCGCCTTTTCACTTGTCAAAATTTAGTAAAACGCAGCTTACGTGCTTGTGAAAAGAGGATTACCTAATGGGCGTGAAAGATCTGGATCTCGCTCTGTAAAAATAAATGCTCCATGTCGACCTGGCAACTAATCTGACAATCTTTACCCACAGGAGTTTTCTTTAACCGAATAAGACGGTACAACACACCCATAAAGAGCACATGGCCTCCTTAAACAGTAATTGATCTGGATAATTCTCCATTTGACAGCTTAGAGGCAGTTGTAGATCATTTGCTGTACCTCGATATCCCCGACAAGTTAGTCCAAGGAATTCTTGGTGGGGGTGTGTGCTGCCCAGTTTCCAAACCCTGACCACTATCTCACCAAAAACGCCACACCCCGTTCACACCTAGCCTCTGAAATCCATACCCGTTTTCAGATCTTTTCAGAGCTAGGGGGTCATTTTCCCCAGGGGCCCCACTCACATATTTTAATGACGGGGGGTCCGACATATTTTATACCCCAAAAAATCCCAACTTCAGAATTTGTCACCCAAAAAAATCCCTCAGTGTTTTTGCATCAGCAAATTTTATTTTTTATCTTCTGGAAAGCTAAAACATGCCAACTTCAACTTTGGTTTTGGTAAAAAACAAAACTATAAATTGCGCTTATGTTATTGTTGATTTGAGCTGATGAAGAATACAATACCCAAAAAATCCCTATGTTGTTTTCGCGACCCAAAAAAATCCTGGCGTCTTTCATAGACCCAAAAAAATCCCTTTTGGCCAAAATCTCAGACCCCAAAAAATCCTTCGGACCCTCCCGTCATTAAAATATGTGAGTGGGGCCCCTGGGTCATTTTCACAATATTCAAAATTCACGGGGGGGTGGGCGGCTATTTCTAGAAAGGTAGGATTAAGTGGGGAGTCGGTTTGAAAATCTTCTAAGCTTTCTCAAGATGGCCACCCCCATCCCTTTAAGGTAATAAACGACCAGCATTTTAGTAGTATTTGACAATGAACGTTCTTATTCATTTAGAGCCGGATCGAATAGACAAATACTTTTATACGCTCGTGTGGTCATCCGTTGGTTATGTTATTTTAACTAACCCGATTTTACGCATTTTTACCATTTAACGGCAAAATCAATTTGCGGAATTTCCCCTTGCGACCAGCAAAGTATTTGCAATGAACCCTTATTCCTTTAGGCCGGATCACATACCTTTTATACAGCTTTAATATCCGTTGGGTATAACCCGACCAGTATAAAATCATTATAGATTAACAGGGCTCAACCCTACTCCTTGGGGGCACCCAACGAGGATGTAGTTCAAAACCACTTAACATAGCATTGTTGAACGTATTTTAGTATTCAAACGGTAGATATAGGCATATTTTGATCCCCTAAAAACTTTTCATCTGTTCGGATTTCCTAGCTGAAAATCTAGTGATCCGAAAATTATGGGAATAAAAACTTACCTTCTCGAAAATTTCAGCCAGGAAAAGGCTCCCGAAAATGCTAGGTGGCCTTTTTTAGGGTAAAAATCCGTTAAAAATGAGTAATTATACCATTTTGTAGATGTTCGAAAATCCTAGGAGAGGCAGGCAAGCAAGAAATTTTACAACAAATGCTCTAGATCTCAAATTGTCTTCCGAACAGATATTTTCCCGAAAATTGCCGTTGGGTGCCCCTGAGTAGGTAACAAAGCCTTATTTTGCAAGTGAAAGGTTTATAATGACGTGTCTCGGAGGCCTAAAATATTTTCCGAGACACGTCATAATAAACCTTTCACTTTCAAAATAAGGCTTTGTTACCTACTTAATGACTTAAACTAAGGAATCGTCTCATAAATAGCTGCAGAATAAAAAACTGATGTATTTACTGCTGTGTCAACTGAACCACTCCTAATCATAAACTCCAGTGAACATCTCCTTCGGATCAGAAATTGCACGTAAAGGCAGGTTATTGACTCCGAGGTCCGAAAAGAGATTGTTATCAACTTCACTGTGGTTCTGTCCGCATCTCAGGTGGCAAAACCCACCCACCTCCTCCAGAACTTGGGAGGATTATCTGTTACGGTTGTATAAACAAATCAAAATAGCTGTAAATTTAAAACGGACGTGTTCGGCTCGTGGGGTGGTTTTTCTCTCATTTTATATACCGTAACCTGTTCCAGAGTCTCAGTTTGACGAGCGAAGCAGAGAATAAAATAAGTAAAAGATCCGAGATAAAAATTAAGAATTAAATTAACGGGAGAGAGCTCGCATATTTTGCTATGAATGATTAAAACTGAAAAAAAAAATGTGCGGGGTTGAAATCTAAGCTGCTTAGATATCAATGTTTGTTTGTGTTTTCATTGCTTTACGTGATGGAAGTTCTAGAAATTAGATAAGCCTAAGGTTTCCTTACGACGTCCTCATAGTGACAGGAAAACGTGCGCTATTCTACCATCGTGACGTCTTCTTGATTTAGCTTTTTAAATGTCTCAATATCCGGTCTTTGAGTGTTTAATTCCCCTGAAAGGAATAAAACGATAACAGAAGAACTCAAAACAGAGGAGTCTTCTACAAGGAACAGTCAACTCAGGAGAGAGAAAACAACAGCAATTGTGACAGCACTAGGGCAGATATGTCGGCTTTGTACTTCACCTCGGTTCTATTTTGTATTTTCATGACGGCTACTCAAGCTTGTTTTTCGTGTCCTTCCTGCCCCAAAACTGACCTTCAAAGAGATTTCTGCGCGGCGTCGTTTGGTAAGTAAAGTTCCATCAAAAAATTCCTATAAAATAGAAGTACAGGATGTTATATTTACAACTCTCTCATAAGCTAAGACAAAACTGCGTTCGTAAAATTTTGATGACTTTTGATGGCAGGGATCCATGGATAACAGTGTTTCCCTGCATGTTTTATCAGTAGCTTGTTGCTTTTTTCCGTAGCGTCAATTGGCATGACTGAGGCTGATTTAGAATTTCCCTCAAAACATCAGCGTGTGATGAAAATGAGTTTACTGTTCGGTGTTTTACCCCATTCTACTTCAAAGTCGTTTCATAATTGTCCACATACAATACCGACCTCCAACTCTCTTAGAATTCCATTTTTGTTAAGAGGATAACCGAAGAAGACAGAGCAGAGTGATGGACGTTCTTTGAATAAGATTATTCCCAAACTTTCGACGTCGTTTCCCTGGTCGATTTCGGCATTCTACCCTGAAGCCGATACCACAGTATTTGTGCTAACTGACAATCCAAAAGAAAGATTTGTATAAATAGAAATCTGTCATTGCAAGTAGGTCTGAGTGGCCTTGGCTAGCTAAAAGTTAGATGACAAGTGCACAGATTATGTTGAGATCAGAGTATATTCAAGTGTAAACAAAACGATGACTCTAGTGCGTGTTTTTCGTGTCTTACATGTGTCGTTTTGACTCTAAGTTCACACTAAAACGGTCGGTAATTTTGACCAAAACTTGCTTTGAATTGTTGATAATGGCTAGTAATCTTGGAGAATATATGATTAATCATCTTTATTCAAAATCCTACAAAAACTCTTCTAATGTTGCTATTTTGCTCAATGTTTAGTGTCTCAAACACTTTCCAGGCCTTGAAGTGAAATAAGCTAATGTCTTGTATGTCTTACTTTTCCAGTGTTGCACGCCAAAGTTTTGTCAGGACCCACACAAGAAGTTACTCCAGAAGATGAAGAACTAAAAAAGATAAGCACCTATGATCCACATGACGTCTACAGATTGAAAATCATAAAAATATTCAAAGGAGGAGAAAAAATTACTCAACTACCAGGAATTCAATTTACCGGCATTCACAACGAGAGTATTGTGATCAAATACCATACGCCAGCAGCCTGGTGGAAGCTTTGTATTCCATCCCTGAGCGCTCTTGACCGAGGCCACGATTATTTGTTATCAGGTTACATCGAGGAAGGCAAACTTCGATCATCCTTCTGTGATGTGCGTCGAACCTGGGATAGTGTTACCCACAAGCAAAAGAGGGGGTTGAGAGGACAGTACAATGAGAAATGCGCACCAGTTCCTGTGGCATTGTAGTAACTTTTTTTCAGAACTAAAAGTGTATATTTTCATACTAAGGCCGAATTTTCTACCGACTTAAGTCACTTAAGGCTGAAAATATTACTGTGTACATTCTTACATTCTTAGATTAGAGAGTTAATGAAACTGTTGTGACCAGGAACTGAACTATCAAATCAAATGTAAGAGAATGAACTTTACATGATGTCACGTAATTTTTAAAAGGTAGTGGAATGATCTTTCCTTTCCAACTTGTGACATTTGTCATCGTCTAAAGTATCTGAAGAAACAGGGGTGACCTCTTAATTTGTTAAACAGCGCAAAAGAAATATGGAAAAGACAGAAAGGGGCATTCATGGGAAAACTGGAGAATATCACTATTAAACGTAAAAAAGGCTAAGAATACCTCGACCTCTGGCTCCATACACAATCCCACTGCAGTTCGTTGGGGAAGGCCAGGATTGCGTGACAAGGCAAAAGGACTTCTGTGCTGTGCAGTAGGCCGGCTATAAAGTTGTTTCGGTCGTGATTTTACAATTTAAAAGACTCTTTGCTCATTTCACTAAATTAAGCGAAATCAACTAAAATTATACCGCGACTAAAGGTTTCTGCCAAGAGCGAATAAAATTTGCCATTATCCTCTCTTTGCCATTATCCTGGGTGACCTATCCCCTCCTTATCACGCCGCCTAGGAGCAGTTGATTAACCGGCGAAATTATGGTGTACTGATAAAACGAAGCTTCTAGATTAAGCCAGCACTGCGTCGGGGTTTATAGCGGCGGGGGGAGGGAGGTATTTTTCTCGCTTCCTCCCAAACCGTACGCCGCCCCATAAGTAGTGTTGACACTCACCCAAGATGGCCGCCGGTAACGCAAAGTCTTCTAAGTCGACGATCTTACGGGAAAATAGGGGACTGTGAACAGTCTATTGGCGCTCCCTTAACTGACACAAAACAAGGCATAAATGTAGTACAGTTGTAACAGAATACTTTCAAAAAGTAGCGCTTAGCCCAGCATGGTGAACATCTTGTTTATTCAACCTTAAAATTGCCTACAACGTATTTTCTTAGCCTGGGACCAGGCTCCCCAGTGGAGTAAAAAATCGGCAAGCGAAGAGTCCGCCACTCCTTCCCCCTCCCTAGTCCACCGCTCGGCTCGCATATTGCTGTTTCACTGGCTCGTTTTTGGCTTAATACCCCACTGCTGTGCCTGGTCCCAGGTTACTGCTCATTCCTTATCGTGAACAGTTGAAGTATATCACAGTTAATAGTTTTCTTAAATGGCCGTTTCATAATGTCATTTCCCACTTTTAGCTGTGAAAAGGCATTGTTATGTCTTATAAATATTAAAACGCTTTTAAAGCACTGAGAGTGTAGCGTAACGATATCATTTGAAATTAGACTGGAGTAGAATGATCACTGAGATCTTATCATCTATTAAAGCGATCTCGGGTTTACAGAGGCCTTTAAAGACAAACTACCATAGAACTTTTATCCCCGTCTAGAAGAACTTGTCACATATAAACGATGAAATTGACCTGACTGAACGTGAGAAACAGCTTCTCTCCCACCCCTCCCCCCCTCCCCCTCAACACACACACAAGCACACACCCATCATACCCATTGTTTTAGCGTGCACATGCACATAGATCGAGGTAACGCATTTTACAAGTTTTATTACTCATTTTTTCCTGTTATCTTGTTCTTATACCTATTGTCAGTAGTAGCCTAGTTTTCCCAGGTCTTCACGGTCATGTACTTCGATAACGTATCAGAAACGAACGGCTTGGAGAAGAATTCGCTCGGACCACGAGGAACGAAACGCATACATTACATTCTAAAACGTGCGCAAGCAACTCATTACTGGTGGTAGTCTCAGGTGATTTTTCCCTGGTTTTTTCGAGCTAATTAGCCTAGCTAACACAACTACTACCGTTAATTATCACCTGCGCAAGCCCGCGGCGAGCGCTCGGTCTTCTCTTGCAATAAGGTAACATGACCGCGATTTCCTGGCAGTCTTTATTCCGTTTAGCGAATATAACAAAGCATGGTGTTCTAGTGTCGATCAATAATTCAATCTAGATCTATTTTCAGACCGTCGTGACCACACACAAGTGTAGTGTCGTATTATTTTATAGCGCCCCTGCGTTAACTATAATCTCAAAACGAACAGCAGCCAATTAACCTTATCATACAATTCCAAAATGTCCCGGAAGACGGGCTTGCAGAAGTAACGCCAATGCCTTTTTTGAATTGGCACTCTGATCCGTTATTAAGGCATGTATATCAACTCAATTTCCCTCTTCAGACGTCAAGTTGAGCATTCTCGCTGTTCACTGTTGTTAACGTACAAAGCTGGATTTTCGTAAGCATAAGGAACGTCGCTCATATCCTCTGTTTGGACTGATGAATCAACGGTGTGGACTGTAACACGAAACAAAAGATTGATGTTTAGTCAGTGTTTCAAAGAATAGTCAAAGGGGAGTCAAAACTAAATTTAACTTTTCATTAATGAGAAATTCATGAAATATTCAGTGATGATAACTGTTGGCGATTGACTAAGAGCGTCATTGCAAGTACTTCTATATCTTTTTAGGTAAGTTTAAAGTAAACAATTTTCCATCAGTTTTTAATATTTCCCGAGGGAATTAAGATAAAGAACGGCAAAAACAGTTGGTACGCAAATACATATTGCGAGCGCTGACGGAATAAGCATGTCTCAGTTCCCAGACTTCTCACGAGGGCTTTTTTAGCTCGTGGAAAATTTTACTCGCTTCACAAAACGATACAAACAACAAATAAACGCTATTGCTTGTTTTAATTTCCCCTTAACTTACCCACTTTCCTGCACCGCATAGTAGCTGGAAGAAAAGTTACCACGGCAAGGAAACCCAGAATCGAACCAGCGGCAGGAACCACTGAGAAGACATATCGAACATACTCTGCAGAGGATCTACAGGAAAGTAATTCAATCCACGTGGTCATTTGGCGTTGAGTACTGTTCACGGTATAATTCAGATAATCTCAGGAACGGCGGAACAAGGGGGAGGAGTGGCTGAGTGACTTTTTCCACAAAAACTAAACACTTTTGAGAGGAGAGTCTGCTCAGCCTTCCCACTTGAAGTCACTAGTCAACACCCCATACGCCCCGCACCCCACCGCACCTCCCCGCGTGGAAAAATGTTCTGCCTGTCGCTGTATTAAATTGCCCTCAACAGAAGAAATCAAAAAGACATTGTAAATGTCTAAAACAATATTTATAGACTGACAAATCTTAAGTTGTTAGTGTAGATTTGAACCTTTGCGGCAATAAATGTACTATTTTGATTTTGCTTACTAAACAACGGGCACGATTCACTTGAAAAAATACAGCGACGTTTTTTTTTCATTTACTTACCCGTTAGAAGGGAAGAATTCCTGGATAACAAATACTGAACCACCGCATGCTATTTTGCTAAGAGCACAAGTCGATCCGAACACAAAAGCCCCAGATTCTCTGTTGTCACCGATCATCTCCCCAGCTAAGGCTAGTGACGTCACGTACATGACAGAGGCTCCGCAGCCCGATAGGATTGCGGCGCAGTAGGCAGCGTTCCTTCCCGATGGGCTTTGCTGGTAAAACCAAGCCGAGGAGCCGATGACTAAAGAAGAGGCTAGGCAGTAAGTCCACTGAAAATAAAAATGTGTACAGTCAGTTCAGTTCTCCTGTTTAAGAAAGGAAACTAAAAAATGACCGGTCCACTTTGAGTCTTAAAGGCGTCTAGGTTCAAGTTCCTAGCTATATCTTTCTTCAGGTGTAAAAAGAAACAAAGATGGATGACAATGGTGCAAAGGAAACCTCTCGTCCACTTTGCAGGCCAGATAAGCTGTGACTTTACTCCAAGAGAGGATTTGTCGCGGTGACGGTTGCCTTATTTTTTTAATGTTTATTTTATCCAACCAAATATATGGATTGCATACCAAAACGTCGAACAGAAACGCTAACGAAGTCCTAAGTCAAACTCAGAGCGTCATAGTCAAAGTCTATATTTTAATTTTAAAACAGATTCACTCCACTACATTTCAAGCACATAAGCTAACACTACCATAAAAAAAAATAATAAAATAAAAATAATAATAATAATAATAATAATAAAAGTTGTGGAGAAGGAGACAACCAAAAGCGCCAATGCGCCATATTAGGGATGCCCCACTAATTAAAATATAAGCAAAAATATGCAAATAGAAATATAAATATTCTAGTTATCCTTAATGACACTTAAAACATTTTTTAAAAAGTTGCAATACTGTTTGATTCTCTAATATGATTGGGTAAACCATTCCATTCATTTACAATACTGTTAAAAAAAAATTAACGTCTGGCACTAGTCAACACGGACTCCTACATGGACGTCTGACTAAGGAACTACTGAGTAAAACCATGCAGGAGCTGATTGGAAAAATCTATTGTAACCAGCAAGTCAAAGGCTTGCTTCAAAACGTCGCATTTCACTTGCACCGAATTAACGCAAATGATCGATTAATCAATCGTTTGCGTTAATTCGGTACTTGTGAAATACGACTTTTTGAACCGGGCCTTAGCCTTGTCGGTGTGCTTTCTTTGAAGCTAGAGTAGTTCAATCAGTTTGTCAACCTTTCCTTTTCGTCTCACCTTTGCTCCGACCATTTTGTCAAGTTTCTTAGCGCCTAAGCTCGAGAAAACACCGCTGATTAGGATCACAAGAGGAAAATAAGCGATGGACTCCTGCAGGAGCAAAAAATATTTTTTAAATCTAAATGATCTAACTAAAGAACGGAATCCCTGACTGGAACTAAACTCTGAACGGGCTGAAACAGCAAAATGTGGTGGACTGGGGAGGAGGAAAGGGCTACGGACCCCTTCCCAGTCACCGATTTGCAATTTCTGCTGGTTAGGTGGTCATTCGGGAATTACGTCGCTCGCTTCGCGAGCGTCCCTAACTTCCGCGCTCACGCGGTTGACTTGTGGAAAGTCTACCACTCCCACTACGGAGCCTGGTCTGCCTGGTCCGGGGCTAGCGAGCTTGGGGATGGGTGGAGGGAAGGGGAGTGAGTGAGGCAAGTGTTCTCACCACTGCGCCACCTTTTTTCTTCATTGCACATTTGACCCACTGTATTCAGTCCGTTTGTCTCTGTTTTCTGTCTGCGCCTTGTCGTTTTAGCTGATAATCCACAAGCACCAGCTTGTTTTTTAATTAAACTAAATAATATCTGCGGCCGACATTACCTTCTCAAAGCCAAGCGTGTCGGTCAAATACATCGGTGCGTAAGACCCTGTTATTACTTGGACTAGACGAGTACACATAAAGGCAAAGGAGACCTGAAGAAAAAAAATATGATGATTAAAATCGAATTCTCCTTTGGACCATACGATAGATTCCCTTTTAAATATTGCTACCCGGAGATGTATTGACTGCAGGGCGATTCGGCCCTTTTCAACCCTTTTTCACATTTTTTTCCTACAAAACATTCTTTTTCATTTAAATACAAAACAAAACACTTATTGATGAGCCACGCGCCTTTTGAGTTAAATTAATATCATTGGAATTACTACACCAGAAAAAAGGGTCATTTCCCGCGTTCTAGGTGCCTAAATTTTTGGTAGCTAAGCCGTTGAGCTACGCCATGCGGGTAAGATTGATTCTGATTCTCGTGATTGGTTCTGATTGGTTAATCAAGCCGGCGGCTGGGCCCAGCTTGCTTGCGCGCTCCTGATATCCCGCTTGATTTGTTTCCGCAAGAAAACAATTATTTTGTCACATGATTGTGACTGTGACCAGTGTTGTCACTATGACGAGTCACGTGACTATGACGAGTGTGGTAACTGTGACTAGTGTTGTGACTGTGACGTTGACCAATCTCCTTCTTCTTCTTTCTCTCTTTTTTTTTTGGCTATTTTATGAAAATTGATCCGGCCAATATTCTACCAGCTTGACCTCACGCCTGGTCAATCATGCATAAATTATATTTTAATTGGCTTAATTTACCATTAAGGAGGATGAAGCCATTAATGGCCCTTTAGGAGACTGAGGACCGTAATAAATTATAAGCCAAACTTCACAACTGCTGACTCGATCTTTTGGGTAAGTCTCCCTTTCTACTCGATAAATTCATATACGTTTCATAGTACATAAGGTACAGGAAAAGGAAACCTGAATACCTTGTAAAACATCGGAGTCTTGAACCAGCCAGTCCAAGTTTTTTTCGCTTTAATTTTCTTCATGTTACATTTTCTTCTTTCTTCAATAACAACACTAACTTCGCTGCAAATCGTCTCAGTCCGTTCGTTGAGTGAATTTTCGCGGCTCTCGCAAGGTGAGAGAACCGTGGTTATTACTTGAGAAGAAATTTCGTTTTTCACGCAGTTGTCCTGCTCCACCTGAGGTTTATTCTCTGTAACACTGCCGTCAGTGGAGTAGACTGAATCAGTTTCTGGTGACGAGGCGTAACCCTCGCTGTAACCACTAGAATCAGACCTGTTACTAAGTCTTTCTTCCATCAAATTCTCATCAGATGGGTCACCTTCCACTGCGTCCTTCTCTTGCGACTTTTCGCAACCGTTTCTCTGATTGTCTTCTCTAATAAATGCAGGATTGGAAAAGCTGAATGCATTTTCTTCCCTTGGTTGTACCGTAGCTTTCCCGCTGGCTTCCCAACCCGGAATGTTTCCCGAGGCAACGACAACACCCTCTTCACAATCCGTGGTCGGTTCAGATTTGAAGGCAGGATTTGAAAAACTAAAATCCTTGTTTCTCTTACTTTCCTCTAAGTCTATTACGCATGTCTCGATACCTTCCCTATTAAAGGAATCACAAAGTGTGTTTTCTAGCACAATATCAAGGGTAGTCGGCTGTTCCTCAATGGGGGAATTATCCAACTGAGTTTTCTTGGTTTCTTTCAGGCCAACATCATCGTTAGAAGGACCTGAGAACAAAAAAGATCAACTTTACTTTAATAACGAAAGACTTCTTGAGGTTTTTTTCTCAGAAAATCGCGAAACAAGGAGTTTCATCAGTGATCAAGCACAAAATCCCATGCGAGGTACTCAAGCAGACTGTGAAGATATTATACTCCCCTATTATCTTCAAATTAATGTCTCTCGCGTAAAGGAAAGAAACGTCTGGTCGAAGTGAAGAAAATCACAATCAAGAAGATGAGAACCATCGTTTCTGTAAATTTTGAGGTTTTAACCATTATTCGTTTCTTTCGTTAAATTTTGATTTTCATGTTCCGTGGTTTTATCCTTTTTTACCTAATTAGGGGTTTTTTGAAGCATTTATTCCATTTCGTTTTCAGAGCGGGGTATTTTTCGAATTAGTTTTGCCATTTGAAATTTTCAGATTTTTTAAAAATGGTTCCTTAACAAGTATAGAACGGAGTAAAAAAAAATTTTTTAGAACGGGGTATTTTTAGGGCGACTGAAAGGAGTAGTTTTGTTTGACTAACCTTTGTCGCTTAGTTGCTCTGTAGGAGACTCTTTGGTTCCCAGGTGGAAAACAAAGCAGAAAAAACATCCTGTTCCCACAACAATTAAAGCCATTTCCTGAAAAAGTTGACAAAAAAATATATAAATCATTATGAAACTGACTTGTTTTCTTTGCAAGTGTTGTTGTTTTGGTTTCCACAATTCAACAACCCTGTTTAGGTAGGTGGAATTTGTAAAGTTTTGAAAGACTGTCAGTTGTCATCTTTAGCGCGGACTTTGATTCAAATTAGTGACAGGAGTATTCACATGAAATCAACTTTACCATAAAGTCCCTCCACTGACTAGGCGAGATTCGTTGGTCTCCTCCGTCCGTTTTCAATAGAATCCACGTGATAGTGTACATAAAGATACCGCTGATAAAAGTTATTCCTGACCTAAAAGAAAAGTGAAAAAGAAATTTAAAATCAACAACGGTGATGTTATCCTCTCAGAGTGATAACGTCGTGATCCAAGGATTGCATTGTGGGATCGATTTTTAGGTCATATCCATGAGTGAGCGGGCAAAACGCTTAAGGACACAAAATGTCCCCAATTCCTAGTTTTAGTTTTTTTTTTTTAATTGATTTCGGTTGACTTGCTGCTAAGTGAAGCAATTATTTATTTTTATTTACAAGACAATTATGTTGATCGTCATTCTGTCAAAGTCTACAATTACTGCAATTATGCAACATTTTGCAAACAGGTTTTGCGTTAGCTAACTGATCAGTCATCATCTAAAAGCTTGTTTTACTGGTAGCACGAGTTGGATGAGAGGTAAGAAAACCGTATTTTTCCCGAACTTCCAGCGTATCGTTAAATTTGTGGAAGATGTCCCGAGCAAAATTTGTTTGGAAGGTAGCAAGCATTCTCGAATGATATAATTATCGCTGTCCGTGAAGAACAGTTTTACTATATAAGCCGTCAAATACAGAAAAGACGCTAAGAAAGCCATTGTGAGCAAGGCGTGTTAAGAAAGAATTGGCGGGAATAAGGAGATAGGAGTCAAAGCTATTTCAGTATATATAAATTTTTTTGTTATGGCCCATCTGAACTAAATGTCAGGCAGTTACTTTTTGGCTTTTTCATGTTGACACGCATTGAGAAACCCAATTCTAAACTGCATGCACGTCGTAATCGGGGCCCACTGGGTTAAAATAGGCTTTAGCCATTCCGCATCCTGCCTTCAAAATTAATCGCTCAATAAAAAGACGCAATTCCTTACTATATTGTCAGCCATACCATGGAAATTATAAGCCATGCACTCTAAATTGTCTGAATCAAAAAAAAGTGATTTACTCATTCTATAGAGGAAGTTTAACTGTCATTTCGAAATCAATTTATATTTATCACCGGTCAGGTTAATGAGCTGAGGTCACTCTGCCAACGGAAATGAATGAAATATTTACAGCTGAGGGTAGTTAGTTGATGATGGGGGTGTATTTTTAAAACCCCACTGATATGTTACGTCTATATTTAAAGGCTCTTTAGCTCGTATTTGCAAGTCCGAAGGGCGTATGGTTAGCACGTGTAATACTTGTGTTGGCGCCGCAGTTAAACTTGTTCGAAGCAAGTTTTTGACGGTCATTTCAACCTCACGCCACACAACATTCCTCTAAGCAGCGGGTAAGTTTAATTTCAAGACAAACAGTAAACAGTTCCCGGCATAATCTTTGAAGGTCTGAATCTGCTAGCAAAAACTTCAGATTTTCAGCTTACTGAAGTTGGTTTGGTGATCCGCTTTCAGTTAAACGCCTTTTACTTACTTATTGCAAGAGAGAATCTTCTAATATTTCATTTATGTTCGCATTAAACACGATGTTATTTTCCTTTCGCTGAGATTAACGCTCTTAAGTGCCGGTCTGCTTGCAGAAGACTACCATTCGCGGCCATTTTTATTGCGCGGTCAAGACGCTAGTCGACACGAGTCATCGCAAATCGAGGTCCGTGCAACCATGAGGCTACCCGTTTGATGCAAGCATATTTCAAGTTCGCTACAGTTTCCTCTGATCCCATTAAGCTCTGAAACAAAGTCTTATTTATAACGACAATAGTCAGGCACTTACCGTAAAGCTTGTAGCTCCACCATTTCTCTGGGTCGTTGTGCAATTTCAGGTATAAGAGCTAAATGGGTGCATTGCGACAAAGCCCATCCAATGTTATGCACAAACATGATGGTGCCATAATATAGTCCTATTTCCCACTGAGACGAATCTTCACCGCAAACGAAACAGGGCATCATAACAAGCGGAAATAATCCGGCCACTAGGACTGTCCCCAGTAAGTGATAGCTTTTTCGCTTGCCGTAGTATTTAGAGAGAAATGGTAGATTTAGCCTATCGCAGATATAACCGATTAAGACTCCAGAGGTAGCATCTGCTGAATTGGAAACAATCCATAAAAATCCCGCTGTTCTGTTAGACATGCCTACCACTCTTATAAGAAAAACCAACAAGTACGAGGACCAAGCGGTCACAACCGCATCGTTTAAAAAATGTCCAACGCTGTAAGAGAGTCTTTGGAGAACTGGTAAACGAGCTTTGTGCGGACGCTTTGTTGTCCTTTCCTTATCTTGATGTGAACCCAAACTTGGGCCCGTTCGAATTAGATTGGACATATTTCGGCTTTAGAATTTTTACGTTGTAAAAATCTCTATCCTCGTTGCTTTTTTGATTTCTTTTGCTGATTTAGTAGGCCTGAACTATCAGACTTGACAGGAGAAACCAATTCGAGGTTGCTTTCCTAACCAAGTCCCGATCAGAAATGCGTAAAGATGAAAATGCCCGTAAAGTTGTTACGTCTCCCATGTTTTTTACCGGTTCTTGTTTCTTCGCAAAACAGGTCATGAACAAGTAATACAGCATATATGAGAAAATTATTTTTGTTTAGTCATGTTTGTTTGCAAGCGGGAGAACGGAAATCGCATGCACAGATTAGAAAAAAACCTTCTCTCTTTGTTCTTTTTGTGAATTTGTACATTAAGGAAAAAAACTTTCACTAAGAAACAGTATACATTTGATTTGTAGCGACTGAGAATTACATAATCATTTTTGGTATGTTTAGATTGACTTTGGCGCCCCATAAAGTACAGCTACTCAATTACAAAAAAGAAATAAACAAACAAATCCGACAGTAATGCAATTTTAAAGTCGTCTGGTATTCAGGTAACAGGCGATCTTTGACCCGCCTGATTTATCGTCAGTCTACTCCTGCGAGTAATCCTCACGAATAATGACGTTGTCTGTAGACTTGTATTAAATATAAATCTATCCCTTTATTTCAGGTATTTCCCTTGTGGTTTAGGGGATTTTCACCCGGGTGGGCCGGGTTAGGTTCGCTTCGGGAAAATCACGCTTTGGCTTCCGTCGATGTCCACGCCAGCGGCAAATGCTCTTCAGTCTACCACCGGATAGAACTTTTCACCGTTTTTTCAACTTTTGACATGGACAAGTTAGGGCAAATTCGTCGACACCACTGGAAAGAGCGCGTTAAAAGTAGTGAACTTGCCAAATTTGAAAGTGAAACGTCTTGCGCGAGCTAAGATAGCTCCGCGCAAAGTTGCGAACATTTACAGACGTTTGTGGGAGGGGGGTGGGAGGGCAAGTTTGTACCCCGCACCATACAAACGTTTGTACTTGGTAATTTTACTAATCGTAAGGCGTTCTTTTCACTGGTGTCGACGGATTTTCGTTAACTTGTCAATGTCAAAAGTTGAAAAAAACCGTGAAAAGGTTTATTACTAACGCAGTTAGAGGAGAGGGGCTCCAACTGTCTGATCACTGGACTGCCGAGAGGCTACAGTCTTGGACAAAATAGATGGGAAACTTAGACCCCCAGCCCCCCCCCCCCCCCCCAAACCCCCCTCCAAATAAAGGATGGGAAAATGGCGCTTTTTGGTTTTCATTTGCTCGACTTCATTCTCCATTTCGGGGTGACGTGGGCTTCCCCTGCTTTCCTACCCCGCGTAATCCTCACGACATTGACCTTGTCTCAAGAGTTGAAGAAAGTTTATGCCATTGTTTCTGGTATTTCCCTCGTGGTTTAGCGGAATTTCACCCTGGTGGGCCGGTTTCGCCTCAGGAAGATCACCCTTACCGGACTTAGCGTAGCTTGTTCCTCTGTTCCCGGCGTCCAGCTCAGATAGTGGGGAGTGGTGCGAAAAGAAGAGAGGTGCGAGCAGTCGTCCCTTTCGTAAACGGTCGCTGCCATTCGATTCACAATTATAATAGACTGCAAGCATTCTCTCTTTTTCTTCAGATTTAGTAAGGGGAGTGCACGCACGTGTGACGCGCGTGGTCATTTGCGTGTCTCGGGGGTTTTACTCGACGGACCAAGAAAAGAGAGAGACTGCTCGTAGTCTACAATTACAAGGCGTTAAGAGACGATTTTCACCCACATCGTGTAAGAACAAACTGAGACAAACAACTTTTTGTTTATTGGAGAATAATCAATTTGAACACCTATGGGCTCATTTTAAATCCAAGATCAAACATGAATTTTAAATAGTTTCTAATTGTTCTTCTGTTTCTAATTAATTTTTATCTAGTCTTTACTCTTTTAACAAGCGTGCTTCTTAATTACTTGTAATTAGTGTTCTAATCTTCAGTTTTTCTAACTGGCCCTACTAAACAGCACCATAATTTTATTTATAGTACTCATTGTAAGTGTATTTTACATTTCACATTGTCTTGGCTTCAATCCAGTCTTTATATTTTTACTCTTAGTGGAATGAGTGATGTCAGCGTAAACCGTTGGAGTGAACCATCCCGTTTTAGTTGTTCAGGTCTGCATACATAGAGTGGCCACTGCGGTAAGGGAGAGGTTTCTGCATAGAAATAAACAAATAGTAAAAAAATATATAAAAACAAAACAAAAAAAAAACAAAGAGAAAATTAAAAAAGACAACGATCCTGTAGGTTATTTTGGAAGCTCTCTGACGGTGCAGAATCCTGGCAAAATGTGAATGAATTAATAAATGGGACGTTTTCATTGTAACCGGATCAAAATGCGTGATAGAAATGCTGATTGAACGTTGTGCACTGTCAAGTCCACAAAACCATATAGCGAGGGAGTCTGATCGATGGTCTTCATAACGGATTCTATGTAACTATTGTTAAACATAATAACGAGTATGAAAAGTCCCTTAGCATCCTTTAAAAAAGGCAATGTTGAACATATGATCATTCGCAAATATCAGCTAAGCGATAAATAGGAAAAAGACTAGTTAGGATTGTTAAAAGTACCTACCTTAGTAGCCATCTCTTTCGATTTGTCAATAACTTCATAAAAGTGATCGTTGGACTCAATTCTGCTATAAAGTGGATCCTGTTCACTCGTAGCCTCGTTGCTGTTCATTTCCCGTCCTTGTTCCAAAGATGAAGGATTCAAATTTTCCACAGGATCCTTATCTACATTCGAACCGTCTTCTGTGCAAGTAACGTGCAGGCTCTCCCGAGAAGCTGTTGTTTTACCAGACACGGCCGCTTTACTCTCTTTAACAAACACCTCGGCGTAGATGTGGTCCCTTTTCTCTTCTTGATCGTCACCTTTATCACACCTCTCCGTGTTCTGCTTCAATGCTGATTGATGTGCTGCGGTGTGATCATCATTTGGAGGCGACTGCACTCCTCCTTCGGAGCTGGATGGACCTTCCTGGTCACACTTGGATTTTCGCTTACTTTCATTTACAACTGCATAGGCGTTCTCTTCGTCGTTTTCTCCAACAGTCTTAATGGCAATATTTTCTTCCTGCGCTTGTAACATGCTAAAATGAACTGTAAGTTTGGTGGAGCTATGCAGGTAATTTTTCCGGTTACTGGGCTGTTGTCCTGACTGAGACGGAACTTAAAGAAGTGTAAAAGAAGAGGATATCGTTAAAAAAGGAACAACAACAACTGTGTATGCTGTAAGTATATGTCCTGAATTTAGAAAGGAGAATACTAAAACTGGCATTTTGCTTAAACAAAAGGACTGTTTTTTTTATTTTCATCAAAAACAAATTTTAAAAATTAATCTTGTGTCAATTTACCCTTCTTATGAACTCAATCCCAATGTCTTGTGTTCCTTCTACCATCGACGCAGCACCATGGCTACGTGACATAATTAAAAAAACTATTCAGTTTAATTTTATATCATACTTTTTGGGAACAAGTATAGTTTGGTTGCAGTGACATTAAGTCGTTTAAGAATGAAAATGAAAATGCTACGAACAAAAAAACAAATTTATTAAAAGTACCTTTCGTTTTGTTTCTGCGACGTCGATGATAAAAAATGATGAAAAAGACAATCAAAAGAGCCAGTATAATAACAGCTAGAAGAATCAAGATGATTATAGTGATATCGGGAGACTCATCGATGACTTCCTCAGGACTAACTGCCGCTGAAAAAAAATAGCATTGTTGAACGAAAAAACAGTAAAAATTTTTGAACTTTTCATCTGTTCGGACCTCTAAATCACCCATCCATCAAAACTTAAGTTTTCAAAAATCAGCCAAAAAGCCAAAATGGTGGCCTTTTTAGGGTAAACTCCGAACAAAATGGGTAATTTTACTTTTAAATTCTGTTTCCTTGGCAGGCAAGCAAGTTTTACAACAAATGCTCCGAAAATTCAACTCAAATCGTCTGAACAGAATTTTTCAAAAATTGCCGTTGCAGCGTTTCCCCAGAACCGCTGAAAAAAAAAAAGACAAAAGAACTAGTAACCTCTAAATCACCCCATCCCGGATCAGGAAGTTAAGCTAAACTGAACAAGAATTCTTCTAAATTCTGTTTCACCTTTGCAGGTTACACAACAAAGGCAACTTGATCCAACTCAGTGTACGTTTCCAGCGTTTTCCTCAGAACCGCAGCAATGTAATTCTTGGCGAAAATTGACTGACCGACTTCGCCCTGTAAACGTCTACTTACATTCGTACTCGTGATGAATGTCTCCAGAATCGAAAGGCACGTAAAACAATGTCCTCAAAGACTTCAGTTAATAGCAGTAATAGTAGTACTTCATATGGTAAACATGAAGACATGTTAAAGTAAATTGCACGTACATTTTGTCGTAACAATTGCCTTTGAACCGTCCTTTGTAGATGTACTCCGTGCAAGGGATGTAGAATGTGGCCCTGTAGCAGATGTTGGTTTGTCGCTTTCCTTTGGTGTTGTTGGCTTACAGGTTGTCTCTGCAAGAAAATTGCACTGTTAGACGAGTCAAGCCACCCACCTCATGTGACGTTGTGAGCAATGAATGACCTGAACATAATAACAATTCAGAAGAGAATGCACCTCAATATTACGAAGGAGAAAGTTTTTGCTAGTAATTAGTACCTCAAACAACGGAATTTAAAGCAATGATTTATTTATTCAGAATAAAACTGAGTACAAAGTATCGGCACGACTAGAAAAAGGTTAGTTAGGAACAATAAGAATTACCGTAAAGATGATAAACTCAAAGTCATCGTGGCGAAATACATTTACACCAAATTGATAATAAAATACAAAGAAATAATTGTTTTTATATTTATACAATAAAGTTTTCGTATAGGAAATGCACCAACTGTATAACAACACTGTAAAGACACAGAGTATTGTTTCAGAGCCATACCAGTAGTTTGTTAGCTATTATATTCAACACATGACATGATACTCACTTGTACTTTCACATATATACCCATGCCTTTTCGCTGCACACAACAAATCATCAAACAAACCATAGTACCCGTTATAATCCTTGTACATTACAGCACATCTTTCAGTATTTTTATTTTTGGGTTCGTCTGGTGCCCAATAGGATTCATTCACTGTGCTGTTATTACTTATCCACGTCCAACTTCCGTCTTTGTCTTTGGTTAAACCAATGTAGTATTCAGTTCCTTTTCCTGGAAATTTGTTTATAGTGTCTTTCAGAAAGTTCCACTCCTCGTTACTTTCAATAGAAACAAGATCACTTTCATTGACTTTGCACATGCCTCTGCTCTTAAAAAAATTGACTGACTCTTGTTGAGATTCAGCATAAAATGTGTACCGGGAACAGCCGTAGAGGAGCGTCTGATCTTGAGAGAAAAAGAAATTATCCCACGTTTCAGTGATTAATATGAAAGAAAGCGATTACTGAAACATTATCTTTCAATCGGGAAAGAAAATCTCTTTCGTTATTTCTGCACGCGCTTCTGCTCGATATTCTAAAAGTTAAACTCATATTTTGATGTCGCATCAAATGTCTACTGGGAACAGCCATATAAATACGCGTCTGACCTTAAAGGAAAAATACTTTTTTAAAAAATTAAAACTTTATATATGATATTATTCTCCTTAAACAAGTATAAACAAAACTGTGTTGTATATATTTGGTACTATATTTTAGGTATCTCGACAGGGTTAGGGATCATTTTTCTCTCTCCCCGTCGCGTGTCGCCTTTTCTCGTTTGGGTGATTTTCACGCGCGCTCGTGTTTCGCTCGCTCTACTATCCCTGAGGAAAAATGGGGACTACTCGTAGTCTACGACAGGGTCGACAGTTGGTAGACTTTGCTGGCTTCAGAGACTTCAACAACTGTTTAAGTGACTTGATAATAATATACAGCAGTCATTTTTTTTATTCTACTTTATGGTCATGAATTGCCTCCCTGCCGGTTTGATTACGACCGTGCTGGGCAATATGAAATTTCTCAAAACTTTATCACCAGCATTGGAGACCAGCTCAACGTCGATTCAATTAACGAAAAGGTGCAAATCAGACGTCATTAATTGACTCTCGTCGTTGACGCCATAACAGTTGATCATTATCACGCAAAACTTAGAGTACAGAATACTAAATTCCCCTCACCGATCATAGCACCTCCTTGGACTTGAAATGCGAGTCCTAGCACGCTGAGAACAGCAGTGATCTCAACAAGACATGTAAACCCTTTCTCCATCATTGCCGACCAGCCTGGTTTTATAAGCAAGTATGTTCGGTACTGGAACTTCCAGATCGTAGTTAAAGCTTCAGTACTGATGTCTTTGCTGAAACGGAATTGATAACCTTTCTGAATTAGCTGCTCTTAATTGAAAAGCCGAATAAGTAAGTTAACGTGGCGTGACTGCAAAAGCCTATTTTGTTTTAAAGTAGGGGGAATCAGAAAGGTAGAACAGCCGTTTTGGAAAGTAAGTCGTATGGGATGACTATTGGGGAGATGATTGCGTGAACTGCCAAGGGGGACCGATAAAAACTTGATCAGCAAAGCTACACAAAATTGATGAGAGTGATAGAGAACTCATAAGAGTTTTATCTACTTTCTCTATAACATTTTATTAGGCGTTCGCAATATATATCGGCACACATCCACATATGCATGGTGGGAGCGTCGATCCCCTCTGGGTTGACGCTCTAGTCAAGTTAATATAATGCTTATCCTAAATACTTTCTTTCTCTTTCTCTAGTTTCAGAAACTATTAAGAATGAGAACGGGAAAAACTTTAAAAAAACCGTGACAACGTTGTTCAGACTGAAACCCTTTCAACACGGGACATAAAGAAATTACCATCGCGAAAATAGTTAAGATTTGTTTGAATATTAGTATGCGACATGGTTCCCACTCAGCTCATTCTCAGTTTCCTCAAACTACGAGGTAAAACTCGTGGTGGCCAGTCAACCCATTATATTTTATTTTTTGAATAGGAAGGTTCAATCCTGGGCCAGTCCGCCTGAGCTAAAAAAGGTATGTACTCTACATTCTTTTTTCTTTCACAAAATGACAATTCATTATTTGGTTTTGTCAAGAGATGATCTTCCCTTAGTTGTACGCTCTCCAGGTAAGAAGCCCCTTATAGAATCCCCTTTGCGATTGAAAGGAAGTGAATTATTGGTTGGCGCAAGCGGGTCAAAGAAAGGTAAAAAAGAAATTAACTAGAAATAGACGTTGTCACGGTTTTCGACGCCATCTTGACGAGTAGGCAAACGTGTGATAAATTACAGTGTTTGTATGAGAATCTAATGTCGAATAATTTCCGTAGAACGGCTGTTCTGAAAGAAATATCAATTGTACACTAAAGCTACAAAGCAAAGGATTGTCCTAAGAAATTTTGGAGGCGTACCTGTGCTCAAATTTCTCCAGAGGCTTGCTTTAGATTTTCCATATGTTTGTCTGTAATTTTCTCCGACTTTCCAACAGACCGTAAAATGTGTAGAAAATTTAAAAAGTGGTTCTAGGTCTTCTAATGCATGTAACGCCCTCAATTTTTTTCAGTAGAATCCTTAGGAGTGAAGCTTTAGTTTACAAATCATATTTTTTTCAGAACAGCTGTTCTACGCAAGAAGGTAGCATAAATTCTGCGGGCTTTATAATAAATGCATCCGTTAGTTACCGGTACTTTAAACACCCACGTCCCAACCTAACTAAAATAGGACAAAATGAGGTTCTTTTCCTTACACTTCCGCTTGTGACTCTTCCGTTTACGCTCCAGCACAAACAGCGGAATGTGCGGTGTTATTTAAAGTCCTTCGGCTGATTAGCACTCACGTATGCCTGCAGCCGCAGCCCTGTTTCTGAGGTTCCACGACTCTTACGACCTCTTCATATGAGCCCGGTTACCGAGACCAATTTCTCCTTCGGTTCATATGAGAAATTTCAGCCCGGTTTCCGAGATGAGCTGAAGGCCAATGATCCTGGGGACGAGTTCCGGCACAAAGGGACAAAAAAGCAACACCGCGGCAAAACGCAATGCGCATGAGCACAAAATTTAATATCCGGTCAACTTTTTATTTCCGGTCTAGTATATAAACCAATAGCGTAAGCATAACTTTGCCGTCGCGCCAAGTTTAAAAGCAAAAAGGGCGAAACAGACAAAAAAGGGGGCCAAAAAAATCACTTCATTCGAAAGCTTATATATTTTTCTATTCTCAAACTTTTGCACCACATGGTTACCTGTTTGCACCAACGGTGAAAATGATGTTTGAAGTTTGCAGGTCGCGAGCGCTCGACAAGGCGAATTTGTTTTTACTGGCTTTCTTGCATGCTACTGGTTTGGCATAAGTTAATTTGGGAGAAGGCGACAACTAAGAAAAGAATAACAATACTTATGAAAGAAACCAAAATAAAGACGTCATCTTTATCATAAAAAACACTAAAACCAGGAAATAAAATTTTAGTCCGTTCAATAATTTGTTTTATTATCAGAGAAAACAAGAACTCAAAACAAAAGATGGGCGGGATTTAATAACAACTTTGACTTTGATGACTGCAGTCACCTGGAAAGTAAACATGTCTATAAATGACTTTCATTCAAGAAAATGCCTATTTAATTCTTTTACATGGTTGTTCTTTTGTTGAAGACTTCAATAATTTCAGACTGTGCAGCTCGGCTGCATCTCGTGCAAACACGAAACTTCTAGCTGCTAAATACATGGCATGAAAAGTTCGACTTCTAAAAGCCACTGAAGGCAGCTTTCGCTCTCTGATTCTGAGAATGGAAAAATAAATAAATAGAGTTGTCAACTTGCTGCCAACCGGCTCAACAGTATAATTAAGCTTATGTTTCATGGCAATCAACCCAGAAGAGTTTCGTTTTAAAACACGGTAAAACCCACTGGTAAACAAAACTACAAAGCGATTGTGTGTTGTCGTTTTCCAAATAAAGTTTGAATCGGCTTTAACACATGTAGACTGAGAAACTGAAGAACTAAAAATTAGAACTACAATACACTAGCCTGAATTTCATCCGATTACTTCGAGTCGTTATTACTCCCTCAGTAACGTCTGAATCGACCGGCCGTTAATGCCGTCCAGTGACGTCACTACTCCTTGACCTTTGCTTTAATTCATGCAAAAGTAAAACACGACTTTCAAGTGGCAAACCGAGAAATATCGTTGGGAAATGTCTGCATGATACAGAATTGCTTTATTTTTTTCGATTGTAATTCATTTTTAACGTTCAAACTATCAACTGCATGCTGTGCAAGTCTGAACCGGTTGTATTAAATGCTATAATCAAATTCGGTCGCGATCACGCAATGAAATAAACACACACACGGAACACTTAGTTCAAAGAATGCCAGGGATGCGATCCGCTGAATCCCGCTAAAATTTTTCAAAATTATACATAATTATGCGAATGTTTAGACAATCAACCAATCAAAATCACTACCCGGTTTTCGGGTAGTGAGTGACGTCACTGGACGGCATTAACGGCCGGTCGATTCAGACGTTGTTGAGAGGAGAAAACGACTCGAAGCAATCGGATGAATTTCAGGCTAACAATACACAAGCTTGCAATGATAACGTTTTAATTTTATGTCTTAGTTTCAGCCAGGTTAAGTGAAAAATAACAGTCAAAAACTTTATTTTCGTGAATGAAAATCAGTTTACCTGACGATCTAGCCAAAATTACACACTGAGTTATTATCATCTTACCTTTTCTGAATCTAATCGACTAATTGTTTCAGTGATCTGTGCCTGGTTATCCATAAAAGCAATTTCAATAACTACAAAATAGTCAAAAACACGAGCAGCATAAAGCAGAACAACTGAACCACAAGCTGCACACAGAATGAAGGGCGCGGGAGACTTTGACTGGAAAGTGTGACTGAAAAAGAGACCGGAAATGCTCAATCCGGCGCATGCGTAGACGTTTTGCCGCGGTGTTCAAAAAAGCAGACCTGCGAAACACAAAAATTATAACTTTCGCGCCTATCATAGCTTTTGCAACTCTTAAAGCTGAATCACTGCAGTTAATTGCGATGCTTATGATGCGGAAAATACAGCAGGCAAATACAAGACGACGCCATCTGGGCCAGAATTCATCCTGCTTTCATCCCGCTAACAGGGCTGAAGAGTCATATGGCAAAATTCCCCGCCCCCTTCCCGAGATCCCGGTTGGAAAAAACCGAGATCTCGGGAGCCGAGCCAGCCTGCCCTGTCATATAAACACATCGAGGCAGAGGTAAGGCGAGATCTCGGAAACCGGGCTCATATGAAGAGGACCTTAAAAAAATTGGACCTGCTATTGAGAGTGTTTCTACACGTATTAAAAGGTAAGAAAATCGCAACTCAGTGTCGAACCCGGACTTTTCGTGTCCTAATCTCTCTCCCTTACCACTACACTACCACACAGACCCGCCAAGATTCCGAAAATTTTGGGTACATACACTAGCAAACTGTCTTTCGTAACTGTCACAACAACAACAGCTTACCCTAGCCCTTTCGATAACTTTTAACGTAAATTCAACTTGGGCTTCAACGTCGTTCTTTCCAAGACTACCAAAAACCTTATTTGCCCTAGTGTAACATATTACATCTATCGTAAGCTTGTTTACCAATGGTAGCATCGACCGTTAGCATGGCAACGACCATTTACTAAAGAGAAATAGGCGACGGGTAGTGCGCCGTCCTAACAATCTGAGGACTCAATCTTGGGGTTTATCCTCACAAAACCGCATGGCAACCTGAAAATTCATTCACTGGCCGACTTTGCCATGAGCTAATATTAGATTTTCCCTTACCCGGAAAAACTTCACAGCCTTGCTAAGGTCTGGCTTGAATAAAGAGCTTTTCTCATTAGCTATAAAAATAGACCTGATAATAAAAATGACACTCTGAAGTACGATCGTCATCCTTTATTAAAATTCCTTTGAAATGGAGAAGTGCTTCATTAAAGTCAGTAAAAGAAGTGAACGTGCCAAATTTGAAGGTGAAACGTCTTAAGCGAGCTAAGATAGCTCCGCGCAAAGTTGCGAACATTACAAACGTCTGTAAAACTGCGTGACTTTGATAGCTATATCTTCGTCAGTTTTCAATAAATCACTTAAAAACTTGGCAATTTTACTAGTCTTAAGGCGTTCTTTTCAGTGGTTTGACGGATTTTCTCTCCTCCCCAAATCAAGGATGGGAAAATGGCGCTTTTTGGTTTTCATTTGCTCGCCTTCATTCTCCATTTCAGGGTGACGTGGGCTTCCCCTGCTTTCCTACCCCGCGTAATCCTCACGACATTGACCTTGTCTCAAGAGTTGAAGAAACTTTATGTCATTGTCTCTGGTATTTCCCTCGTGGTTTAGCAGAATTTCACCCTGGTGGGCCGGTTTCGCCTCAGGAAGATCACCCTTACCGGACTTAGCGTAGCTTGTTCCTCTGTTCCCGGCGTCCAGCTCAGATAGTGGGGAGTGGTGCGAAAAGAAGAGAGGTGCGAGCAGTCGTCCCTTTCGTAAACGGTCGCTGCCATTCGATTCACAATTACAATAGACTGCGAGCATTCTCTCTTTTTCTTCAGATTTAGTAAGGGGAGTGCATGCGCGTGTGACGCGCGTGGTCATTTGCGTGTCTCGGGCGTTTTGCTCGACGGACCAAGAAAAGAGAGAGACTGCTCGTAGTCTACAATTACAAGGCGTTTAGAGACGATTTTCACCCACATCGTGTAAGAACAGCTGAGACAAACAACTTTTTGTTTATTAGAGAATAATCAATTTGAACACCCACTGTCTTATTTTAGATCTAAGATCAAACATGAATTTTAAATAGTTTCTACTTGTTCTTCTGTTTCTAATTAATTTTTATCTAGTCTTTACTCTTTTAACAAGCGTGCTTCTTAGTTAATTGCATTTAGTGTTCTAATCTTCAGTTTTTTTAACTGGCCCTACTAAACAGCACCATCATTTTATTTATAGTACTCATTGTTAGTGTACTTTATATTTCACATGGTTGGTAGCCTTGGCTTCAATCCAGTCTTTACAGTTTTACTCTTAGTGGAATGAGTGATGTCAGCGTAAACCGTTGGAGTGCATGCTCTGTGACACCTTCCCGTTTTAGTTGTTCGGTAAGTGGTTCACGTCTGCATGTGGCCACTGCGGTAAGGGAGAGGTTTCTGTATAAAAATAGACAAATAATAAAACAATATAAAAACAAAAACAAAACAAGAAAGAAAATATTAAAAAGACAAAGATTCTGTAAGAAAAAACGGCTTCAACAAAGTTTCAAATTTTTTCCTATCTAGTTATTTTGGAAGCTTTTTGACGGTCCACAATTCAAAACTATCTGTTACTTGGTCTGTTGCTGAACCATTTAAGGTGGCACAATCAATCCTTTGCAAAATGTGAATGAATTAATAAATTCAACGTTTTTATTGTAACCGGATCAAAATACGTGATAGAAATGCTGATTGAACGTTATACACTGTCAAGTCCACAAAACCATAATAGCAAGGGAGTCTGATGGTCTTCATGACCGATTAAACTATTGTTAAACATAACAAAGAGTGTGAAAATTTCCTTAGCATCCTTTAAAAAAGGTAATGTTGAACATATGATCATTCGCAGATATCAGCTAAGCGATAAATGGGAACTAGTTAGAGTAGTTAAAAGTACCTACCTTAGGAGCCATTCGTTTCTCTTTTGATTTGTCAACAACTTCATAAAAGTGATCGTTGGACTCAATTCTGCTATAAAGTGGATCCTGTTCACTCGTGACCTCGTTGCTGTTCATTTCCCGTCCTTGTTCCAAAGATGAAGGATTCAAATTTTCCACAGGATCCTTACCTACATTCGAACCGTCTTCTGTGCAAGTAACTTGCAGGCTCGCATCCCGAGAAGCTGTTGTTTTACCAGACACGGCCGCTTTACTTTCTTTAACAAACACCTCGGCGTAGACGTGGTCCCTTTTCTCTTCTTGATCGTCGCCTTTATCACACCTCTCCGTATTCTGCTTCAATGCTGATTGGTGTGCTGCGGTGTGATCATCATTTGGGAGCGATTGCACTCCTTCTCCTACGGAGCTGGATGGGCCTTCCTGGTCACACTTGGATTTTCGCTTACTTTCATCTACAACTGCATAGGCGTTCTCTTCGTCGTTTTCTCCAACAGTCTTAATGGTAATATTTTCTTCCTGCGCTTGTGACATGCTAAAATGAACTGTAAGTTTGGTGGAGCTATTCAGGTAATTTTTCCGGTTACTGGGCTGTTTTCCTGACTGAGACGAAACTTAAAGAAGTGTAAAAGAAGCCAGAGGAGGATATCGTTAAAAAAGGAACAACAACAACTGTGTATGCTGTAAGTATATGTCCTGAATTTAGAAAGGAGAATACTAAAACTGGCATTTTGCTTAAACAAAAGGACTGTGTTTTTTTTATCAACAGAGTCATCAAAAGCAAATTGACCAAAACAAATTTTAAAAATTAATCTTGTGTCAATTTACCCTTCTTATAAACTCAATCCCAATGCCTCGTGTTCCTTCTACCATCGACGGAGCACCATGGCTACATGACATAATTAAAAAAAACTATTCAGTTCAATTTTATATCATATTTTTTGGGAACAAGTATAGTTTGGTTGCGGTGACATTAAGTCGTTTTAGAATGAAAAAAAAAATGCTACGAACAAAAAAAACAAAAAGTACCTTTCGTTTTGTTTCTGCGACGTCGATCATAAGAAGTGATGGAAAAGACAATCAAAAGAGCCAGTATAATAACAGCTAGAAGAATCAAGATGATTACAGTGTTATTGGGAGACTTGATGACGATGACTTCCTCAGCAACTGCCGCTGAAAAAAAAGACAACGAAAAGTAAAAATTCTTTGAACTAGTAACCTCTAAATCACCCCATCCATCAGAAGTTAAGCTAAACTGAACAAGAATTTCTTCTAAATTCTGTTTCATCTTTGCAGGTTAGACAACAAAGGTAACTTGATCGAACTCAACTGTACGATTCCAACGTTTCCCCAGAACCGCAGCAATGTAATTCTTGGAGAAAACTGTCTTACCGACTTCGCCCTGTAAACTTCTACTGACATTCGTACTCGTGATGAACGTCTCCAGAAACGCACGTAAAACAATGTCCTCAAAGACTTCGGTTAATAGTAGTACTTCATATGGTAAACATGAATTAAGACATGTTAAAGTAAATTGCACGTACTTGTCGTAACAATTGCCTTTGAACGGTCCTTTGTAGATGGACTCCGTGCGAGGGATATAGAATGTGGCCCTGTAGCATATGTTGGATTGTCGCTTTCCTTTGGCGTTATGGGCTTACACGTAGGCTCTGCAAGGAAATTGCACTGTTAGACGAGTCAAGCCACCCGCCTTGACGTTGTGAGCGATGAATGACCTGAACATAATAACACTACTGAATTCAGAAGAGAATGCACCGCAATATTACGAGGGAGAAAGCTTTTACTAGTGATTATTACCTCAAACAACGGAATTTAAAATAATGATTTATTTATTCAGAATAAAACTGCATTAGTACAAAAGAAAAAGTTAGTTAGGAACAATAAGAATTACATTAAAGTTGATAAACTCAAAGTCATCGTGGCAAAATACATTTACACCAAATTGATAATAAAATACAAAGAAATAATTGTTTCTTATATCTATACAATAAATTTTTCGTACAGGAAATGCGCCAACTGTATAACAACACTGTAAAGACACAGAGTATTGTTTCAGAGCCGTACCAGTAGTTTGTTAGCAATTATATTCAACACATGACATGATACTCACTTTCACATATATACCCATGCCTTTTCGCTGTACAAGACAAATCATCAAACAAACCATAGTTCTTGTTATAATCCTTGTACATTACAGCACATCTTTCATTATTTTTATTTTTGGGTCCGTATGGTGCCCAATAAGATTCATTCACTGTGCTGTTATCACTTATCCACTTCCAACTTCCGTTTTTGCCTTTGATTAAACCAATGTAGTATTCAGTTCCTTTTCCTGGAAATTTTTTTATAGTGTCTTTCAGAAAGTTCCACTCCTCGTTACTTTCAATAGAAACAAGGTCACTTCCATTAACTTTGCACGCGGCTCTGCTCTCATCAAAACGAACTGATTTCTGTTGAGATGCAGCATGAAATGTGTACTGGGAACAGCCGTAGAGGAGCGTCTTATCTTGAGAGCAAAAGAAATTATCCCACGTTTAAGTGATTGATATGAACGAAAGTGATTAATAAAACATTACCTTTCAATCGGGAAACAAAATCTCTTTCATTATTTCCGCCCGCGTTTCTGCTGGATCTTCTAAAAGTTAAACTCATATTTTGATGTCGCATAAAATGTCTACTGGGAACAGTCATAAATACGCGTCTGACCTTAAAGGAAAAATACTTTTCAAAAATTAAAACTTTATATATGATATTATTCTCCTTAAACAAGCGTAAACAAAGCTGTGTTGTATATACTTGGTACTATAGTTTAGGTATCTCGACAGGGTCGACAGTCCGTAGACTTTGCTGGCTTCAGAGACTTCAACAACTGTTCATGACAAGTGACTTGATATTAGGGAACTTAAGATCCGAGGACGACGACGGCAGCAAAAACGTCGCGTTCTTTCAATCTTCATAGTGATTACTCCAATTCACTATCTTTGTCACTGTGTAAATGAACACTCCTAAAATTGAATTCCTAAGAACAATATCCCAGTTCAGAAATAAAGAGGAAATTTCGTCGTCGCTAATGTGTACTTCCTCTGTAAAGAGTGAAATTAGGCATTTTCACGTCGTAGTCGTGCAGTGACGGCAAAGAAATGTACAAAAAAGCGTGATGCATGTGCAAAATTGTTGTTTTGGTTATTAAACCTATTGCTTTTTTCGCGTTCTCGTTGCCGTCGCAGTCGTCGGATCTTAAGGTCCCTATTAATATACAGCGGTCATTTTTTTATTCTAGTTTACGGTCATGAATTGCCTTCCTGCCGGTTTGATTACGACCGTGCTGAATCAATACTGATAAAACTTCTCAAAACTTTATCACCGGCATTATAGAGACCAGCTCAATGTTGATTCAATTAACGAAAAGGTACAAATCAGAAGTCATTAATTGCCTCGCCTCGTTGACTCCATAACAGTTGATCATCACTTATAGGGCGCTTTCCATTTGTCAGAACTGACCTGCCAGCCCATTCCCATCGTAATGAGAATTTCACTTTTAGTCAAAACTAACCATCCAGATGAGTCAAATCCTAAATATTATGCACAAATGAGATGGTTTTTTCAGCAAAACCTCTTGGAAAAAGCCTGTTTTATTGCCAAAATGTCTGGTCCGGCCGGCCAGTTCTAACTTTTGGAAAGCGCCCTTAGAGTACAGAATATTAAATTCCCGTCACCGATCATAGCACCTCCTTGGACTTGAAATGTGAGTTCTAGCATACTGAGAACAGCAGTGATCTCAACAAGACATGTAAACCCTTTCTCCATCATCCAAACGCCAAATTTAACCAGCCTGGTTTTATAACCAAGTATGTTCGGTACTGGAACTTCCAGATCGTACTAAAGCTTCAGCACTGATGTCTTTGCTGAAACGGAATTGATAACCTTTCGGAATTAGCTGCTCTTAATTGAAAAGCCGGTTAAGTACGTTAACGTGGCGTGACTACAAGTATTTTGTTTTGAAGTATAGGGGGAATGAGAAAGTAGAACAGCCGTTTTGAAAAGTAAGTCGTATGGGATGACTATTGGGTAGATGATTGCGTGAACTGGTAAGGGGGAACGACAAAAACTTGATTAGCAAAGCTATGCAAAATTGATAAGAGTGATAGAGAAATCATAAGAGTTTTATCTACTTTCTCTATAACATTTTATTAGGCGTTCGCAATATATATTGATCTGAATGTGTGCACACATCCACAAGGTGGGAGCGTCGATCCCCTCTGGGTTGACGCTCTATTGTAGTCAGGTTAATAACGCTTATCCTTCTCTTTCTCTAGTTTCAGAAAATTAAGAATGAGAACGGGAAAAACTTAAAGAAAACCGTGACAACGTTGTTCAGACTGAAACCCCTTCAACACGGGACATAAAGAAATTACCATAAAGAAAATAGTTAAGATTTGTTTGAATATTACTGTATGCGACATTGTTCCCATGCACTCAGCTCATTCTCAATTTCTTCAAACTACGAGGTGAAACTCGTGGTGGCCAGTCAACCCCATTTTCCACATATGATTTAACAGAGAATAGTTTAACAAAATTTTCAGGCTAATAAATTTTTCTTAAATATGAAGGTTCAATCCTGGGCCAGTCCGCCTGAGCTAAAAAAAATATGTACTCTACCTTCTTTTTTCTTTCACAAAATAGCAATTAATTATTTGGTTTTGTCAAGAGATCGTCTTCCCTTAGTTTTACGCTCTCCAGGTAAGAAGCCCCTTATAAAATCCCCTTTGCGATTGAAAGGAAGTGAATTATTGTTTGGCGCAACTGGGTCAAAGAAAGGTAAAAAAGAAATTAACTAGAAATTGAGTTCCTAGGCACAACTCAGTATTTATAGCAAGAAGGTAGCATACCTTCTGCAGGCTTTATAATGAATGCATCCGTTAGTGCTTGCATTTACCCGTACTTTAAACATACACGTCACAACCTATAACCAAAATAGGACAAAATGAGGTTTCTTTCCCTTAAACTTCCGCTTGTGACTCTTCCGTTTATGCTCCAGCACAAACAGCGGAATGTTCGGTGTTATTTAATGAAGTCCCTCGGCAGATTAGCACTCACGTATGCCTGCAGCCCCAGCCTGTTTCTGAGGTTCCACGACTCTTACGGCCTCTTCATATGAGCCTCGTTATCGAGACCAGTTTCGCCTTGGGTTCACGGGGAAATTTCAACCCGGTTTCCGAGATGAGCTGAAGGTCCGTGATCCTGGGGACGAGTTCTGGCACAAAGGGACAAACAAAGCAGACACGCGGAACACAAAAATTATAACTTTCGCGCCTATCATAGCTTTTGCAACTCTTAAGGCTGTATCACTGCAGTTAACTGGGATGCCTATGATGCGGAAAATACAGCAGGCAATGCAAGACGATGCCATCTGGGCCAGAATTCATCCTGCTTTCATCCCGGTAACAGGGCTGACGAGTCATATGGCAAAATTCCCAGCCCGCTTAGGCCCGTTTCAAACGTCGTGCTATTGCCGTGCCGAACTCAATTGATCGAATTAAATTCGACTTTAGCACGGCAGTAGCGCGACGTTTGAAACCAAGTCGTGCTACTGCCGTGTGGCATGGCAAGCCTTGCCGTTCTACAAGGCAGTAGCCCGACTTGGTTTCAAACGTCGTGCTACCGCCGTGCCGAACTCAATTTAACGATTAGTTCATGCGTCAGCGTGCGTATGTCGAGATATTGAGCACGCGGGAAGTTTGGAGAGCACGAAAGAGGCGTAAGAGTTGCACGAGGCGCAGCCGAGTGCAACTCTAGCCTCTTGAGTGCTCTCCAAACTTCCCAAGTGCTTCACCTCTTTTCCTTACAATCGGTTAACACATTCAAACGTTTCCTCTAAATTTCCTTACAAAACACATGGTAAACGCTTCATTGTCTATTGCTGAGTTATGGATGCACTCAGGAGACAGATTGTTAAGCTCCCAACAACTCGAGGAATTACGAATAGTTTATTGACGTCATCAGCGTGCTCAATAGGAATATGAAGCACGCTCGCGCTGTTGAATTTGATTAGGCGAATTTTCTAGCTATGTTATAATCATAAATCGTAAATACATTAGAATGCATTTAAGACTTTTCTTAACCGTTTCTTTATTTTTGTGTTTTGTTTTCGGCAACAGCCGTTCTATTCGACTGAATTAAAGTCGACGTCTGAAACCAAGTCGTGCTAGTGTCGTGCTACAGTCGAGCTAAAGTCGAGCCAGCTTAGCACGGCAGTAGCACGACGTTTGAAACAGGCCTTACTGAGATCCCGGTTGGAAAAAACCGAGATCTCGGGAACCGAGCCAGCCTGCTCTCTCATATGAACACATCGAGGTAAAGGTAACGCGAGATCTCGGAAACCGGGCTCATATGAAGAGGACCTTAAAAAATTTGACCTGCTATTGAGAGTGTTTCTACACGTATTAAAAAGTAAGAAAATCGCAACACAGGGTCGAACACGGACTTTTCGTATCCTAATCTCTCTCCTTTACCACTACACTACCACACCGACCCTCCAAAATTCCGAACAATTTGAGTCCATACAATAGCAAATTGTCTTTCTTAACTGTCACATCAACAACAGGTGACCCTCGCCCTTTCCATAACTTTTAACGTCGTTCTTCCTAAGACTACCAAAAACGTCTTATTTGCCATAGTGTGACTTAATCCAGGGAATATATTACATCTATCGCGACTAAAAGCTTGCTTACCAGTGGTGGCATCGACCGTTTAACATGGCAACTACGATTTACTTAAGGGAAATAAGCGACGGGCAGTGCGCCGTCCTCACAATCTGAGGACTCAGTCTTGGGGTTTATCCTCACAACATCGCATGGCAACCTGAAACTAAATTCACTGGCCGACTTTGCCAAGAACTAATGCTAGAAATACGTGTATCGCAGAAACTCGCGAAGCTCGGGAAGGGGGGCGGGGCATAAAATGTCAGGGATGGAAGTGGGGAGAAAATTGCAGTAAATTGTGTAGCTTGGGAGGGCGGGTTTCAACACTGGCTCTAATATTGGAATGTGAGATGTACTTAATCTCCCTTTGGTTGGAGTAAATCTGAACCCAGTGCTCTGTCCTTAAAAAGGACTTTCTGGGACTTTAAGGGGGGCTGGTGTTGTTAATGTTTCATAGGTCCCGTGTTTACCCCATCTGACCCTCCTACAAGTGTAATCATAGTCAAAAACGGAGATAGGGAGCCCCCTCTCCGTTTTTCCTTTGTCGGGGGGAGGGTGCAGCTACACGTAGGCTAAAAGAAAGTGGGTGTGATAGTGAATAACTGCACAAAAGAGAGAATATGCAGCTAACTCATGCCATCTTTAATAATAAGTGTTAAATAGTAATTACTTGTGAAGTGTATCATTAGTAGAGCAGTGAAAATAACAAGTAAATGCTGGTAATTGACGAAAAATATTTATTGTTAAGTGAACTACAGCAATGAGAGTGTATGCACTTCTTGTAGTACATAATCCACAGATGCCAACCTCTGGAAATCTAAAATCTAGGGACTCTTTCTTTCGCATTACCCCCCTTAAATATCAATGATCAACCCCCCGCATAAGCACAATGCAATCCAGTCCCTAATCGGCTTACGACATTATATGAAGTCTTACATGAGGTACAGAACCATCACAATTAGCGTTTATGATTGTAATGGGGAAATGTCACTGATGAAATACATGTGGAAATACATGTGGAAATGCCCCAGAAACCGAACTTTGACTGAAAGAAAATTCGAATTTTGGGAGAAAATGGGATAAATTCCAAATTAAAGCACAGAAAAGCACATAACTCGACTTGCTGACCCGTACTGGAGGAGATTGTTGTCCACACTTGACAACTAATTGCAATTGTTTTTTAAAACAGTAAGGTGCATACATAATCGCTTACACTGAAATAGAAATTACATGTAGCAATGTCAATAAGGATGCAGTTGAGGAGAATTGTGTTTATGATGTATCAAGTACCCTCATTAGCACTGAATTATCCCTGTAAAGAGTACCAAATCATTTGTCAAAGTGTTCACAGTTATTTGTGTACATGTATGAGAAACAAATACCCATGCAAGAGTGAATTTGTATGAAATGTCCACATACAAGTCATGTTGAAGTTGATAAGTTTCTCAATTCTCAACATGCACGACCTTGTTGAGACAGTGCCAGAGGAATAGTTTTTGAAATTCCCAGACTGACAGTCAAATGTACACTTTCCCTGACAAAATAAATTTACAATTTGTTCAGGTATTAATGGCTTCCAAATTCCACTCAAAACTTCGTGTACTGGACACAGATGACGTAAAGCAAAAAACTTCTTTGTTTTCTGTTCAGGGAAAATCTGCTTGGTATTGTTTCAAGGCTGTTGTTCTTTTGTTTCACGTCATCTGTGTCCAGTACACAAAATAAACGCCCCAACTCCCATCACAACCATTCTCGCCACCCATTTATTACATGAATTTATCGTGAATGTAAAGCACAGAATGGATTGATCTTATAGGAAACGCTATATCTGCTTGTCGTTTAATTCCGGGAAACAATATCCTTCTGATGGAATATGTTTAACTCAGGTGAATATGCAAAAATATGTCACCTACCTCTATGACTTCTTTGAAAGAGTCCGATTTTCCCTGACTTATACTGAAATTCCCTGACTTGATAAATTGTCCCTTACGGGTAAAATAATTAATTTTCCGGGCATTGTAACAGATGTCACACACTAACATTGTGAGGAGATCCGAAATACAGATGTTCTTTTCGAATATTAAGAGCAACTCCATGCAAATATCGACC